GCGCCACCCGGGCCGCGGGGGGGCGCTGTTGCCGCGGCGCGCCGCTCCGCCGCGCGCTCTCTATGGTCGGGCCGGGCGGGGCCGGCGCTCAGGCGGCCGCTCTCGCCCGGCGCGCGCGCGCTCCGCGCCGCTGGCGCTCTATGGCGGGGGCCCCTGGGCGCGCTCTCTATGGTCGCGGCCCGCTCCCCCCGCCGCCGGCGCCGCTTCGCTGAGGCGGGACCGGGCCGGGGCCGGGACCGGGATCCGGCGGCTCCGGCGCTCCCCACGCGCGGCCCCGCGGGGCTCTGAGGTAAGCGCGGGCTTGCGGAGGCCGCCCCGTCCCCGTTTCGGCCCGCCCGCCCCTTTACCACCCCCCCCCCCCCCCCCCCCCGCCCGCCCCGCGGCGGCCGTGAGGGGACGGGCACAGGCCGCGGGCTCGGCCCGGCGGATCCCGCGGGGAGCTCCGGCCACGGCCGGGCCTGAGGCGCTGCCCCGCGGCCTGGCGCTGCTGCCGGGGCCGGGCCAGCTGCGCCCGGGACTGTGTGGGGGAGAAAGGGGTCTGGGGGTGACGAGGGGTTCCCCCGTTTCCCCCATTCCCGCTCCCCCTCCCTGTTCCCCGCCTTGGGAGGGGGGAAAGGGGGCTCTGAGCGTGACGAGGGGACCCCCCAGTCCCGCTTTCCCCCGGGGGTGGGGGTTTAAAGGGGGGTCTCCCGGTGCCCCCCGGCCCCGGTCGGTCCCGGGCAGCTTGTGACAAACCGCTCGTTGTGACAAACGGGAGCTTTATCGCTCATTAACCCGCCGTTTAATTAATGGCTGTCGGTACCTGTTCTCCCAGGATTTTGCCCCAAACCGCGCTCGGGGAGGATGTCAGTGCTCTCGGGGGGGATTTTCCTCTCCCAACCCATCGGGTGCCCGATGCCGATGGAATATTGAGGATTTTGGGGCTGCAGCTTTTGTGTCTGAAGCTCCTGTCAGGGATGTTCTGTACGGGCTGGGGGGGGAGTGGGAGAAAACACACGTGCAGAGCGCTCCTGGAGTTTTAAGGAATATCTCTGCGTGTTTGTGGAATGGGCTCCAGGGCTTTGAACCCGGAGTTCTGACAGTTTTCTGGATGGACGAAATTTCCCCAAGCGCCTTAATTGCAAAATTAGGTAAAAAAAAAATCTTTTCACTGCCGAAAGCAACTGATTTTAAGGCACTGAAGAACCCCCAAATTCACCCAGATTGCTTCAGTATCATTGAAAAAAAACCCCTTCTAAATCCCTTTGAGCAATTTGTAAATGTCAGAATTTGTCTCCTTTCACTGAGTATTTGAGAAGAAATGCCTTGTCCAATATTCTTTGACTTCTGACTTTATAAAGCCTTTAAAAATATGATTAATTGGCTCTTACAACATTTCAGGGGTGAAACCTCGTTTAGGGCCTTTCCTCTGCTCGATTTAAAAGGGCAAAACAAGCACTTGGTTTCTTCCTCTGGTGTTCTTTGTAGCATTTTAGGGAATTTAGGGAATTAGTGAAAGTTGTGGGAATGAGGCATTTTGGGTGTTTCGGGGGGGTTTGGCTGGTGGGTCACCCCGAGGCCTGTGGGATTTTGGGGGTGTCTGTGAGCTTTGGGGTGAGAAATGGAACGTGCCCACGATGAACTGTGACATTCCTGCTTCTGTTTGAAATCCTTGGCTGGAGGGAGATGATGCCCAGAACTCTGGGAGTCCTTGAAGTCCTTTCATGAGCTGCTGTTGGAGAATCCTCCCAGTTAAATGACTTTTGAGGTGTAGCTGCCTGGAGACTTCGGTTTTACTCTGAAAAGCATCCCCTGTACCTGTGTGACTGTAAAAAAGTGGGGTTTGTCCACACTGGGGCAATAATTGGATAATAAACCCTCCTGCCAGGGCTCTGTGACAGGTAAAACTCTTCCTTCACCCCAAAGAGAGCAGCTCTGTCATCTCAATAAATCCAAATTCAGCTCTTGGAGGAGTTTTACCTGTGACTGTGCTCAGGGATTTCCCTTTTTGGTGCTTCTTGTCAGAGCTGGACACCTGCAGGTTGAGGTTTTTCCCTGGAGCTTCCCTCTGCAAGCTGCTGGATGCCAGTTGCTGTCTCAGGTGCTCACAGGAGGCCATTCCAATAGGAAATTCCCGGTTTTCCAGCTAAATAGGTTGTTTTAGCAAGGTAGAGGCACTGAGAGACTGTCACATCCCCGGAGGGTGTGAGGTGCAGGGGGAATTCCCACCTTGTTGCAACCCTTGCTGAGTCCTCTCCTGAACATTGTTGTGCTCAAATAGATTGATGTTGGATGAATAATTAAATATTGCAGAGCAAGCAGAGATGGAGTCAGCTCAAAACCCCACATTTTTGATGGGAAGTACTTTATCTTTTATTCCTGTAAAGCAGAACTTCACACCCATGACACAGAGATCAGCAGTTATCGGTTTCACTGTTTCTTGCAGACTTGGTTTGAGTCTTCTCGTGGGACAGCAAGGCAGAGAAAGCAGTGGCAGAGGGAGGGGAGGGCAGGCTGTGGTTTGGCACTACAGAAATGAACGGGGGGGGCTTTTTTGGGGCACTGGAAATTTATTGTCATTTTTGCTGCTGCTGGATTTCGGTTTGAGGGGCCCCCGGTGGGTGCAAAGGTAGATTTTTATTTCTTATTTTTTTTTTCCTTTATAAAAGCTAAAGCTGCATTAGAGGACAGACAAAGCTGTGTCCCCTGCACGTGTCTGTCATTAATTCTGCCCCTCATTTTGATGTGGTTGATGTTTGCAGCCACGAGGACGTCAGGAAGCTGCATCATGTGCTGGGGGGGGTTTTGGTCTGTGCTGTAAAGGACACATGGAATCACAGAATCCTGGAATAGTTTGGGTTGGGAGGGACCTTAAAGATCATCCAGTTCCACCCCCTGCCATGGGCAGGGACACCTCCCACTAGCCCAGGTTGCCCCAACCTGGCCTGGGACACTCCCAGGGATGGAGCAGCCACAACTTCTCTGGGCAACCTGTCCCAGGGCCTCCCCACCCTCCCAGGGAGGAATTCCTTCCCAAAATCCCTCCTAACCCTGCCCTCTGGCAGTGGGAAGCCATTCCCCCTTGTCCTGGCACTCCAGACCCTTGGAAATAGTCTCTCTTCCCCTTTCCTGCAGGTTCCCTTCAGGCACTGTGAGGCCACAACGAGGTCACCCCAAAGCCTTCCCTTCTCCAGGCCGAACAATCCCAGCTCTCCAGCCTTTCCCCCTGGCAGAGCTGCTCCATCAACGTTTCTTGTGTCACCCAAGCACTGTTTTTGTCCCTCCAAAGCCCTGATTTAGTTCCTGACCCGGGGGAGTCCCCTCCTGACCAGGAGACCCAGGAGCAGGACTCTCTCTGCTCTCAGTTGCCTTTTCCCCCTCGGAGCATTCGCTGCGTTTCAGCTCAGCAGGGAAAAAATCAGTGACTCACATTTCCACAGAAAGAAATGTAATTTCCAGTCTCATAGCAACTGTCCTTTCAACACTTTCAAACCTTCTGTGACAAAATGTTGAACGCTCTCGCCCATCAGCTTTTTAATGCTCCAGGCTGGGTCCGCCCACTCCCCCCAGCTGAAACCTGCACTTGTGCATCCCTGAATCCCCCAATATCTGAGGGGGGGGGGTGCTGGCAAGACGTTGAACAGTTAAATATAAAATCTTAGACATGAGAGAGGTGTTGGTGACTGCATTACATGGAGACAGAGTGACTCTGGCAGGGCTTAAAATTCAAAATGTGCTCTCTCTCTCTCTCCGCTTCGGTTTGAATCCCTGGTTTGTTTTTGTACACCTTCAGATGGTTTAAAATAGGTTTGGCTCTAAAACCTTCTGGGAAATTCTCTTGCTTAGAGCAAGATATTCTTCAGTCTAAAGAATCTCAGTTTTCTTCCTGGATCTTCCTTCCCACTGCCAGAGGGGCAGGGTTGGGTGGGATATTGGGCAGAAATTCCCCCCTGGGAGGGTGGGGAGGCCCTGGCACAGGCTGCCCAGAGAAGCTGTGGCTGCCCCATCCCTGGAAGTATCCAAAGCCAGGCTGGAGCAACCTGAAACAGTGGCACAGGGTGGAATGAGATGATCTTTAAGATCCCTTCCACCTTGTTCACTGGATTTCCCTGGTTTTCCCCCAGCTATGATGGAAGAGGTGCACAAGGGCAGCAGCAGCAGCAGCTCCGTGACGCCGTCCCAGCCCTCGGCCGTACAAGGTACAACCCTCCAGGCAGCTCAGCTCTCTCATATTGCTCAACAGGTAAAGCCTGGGCCACGTCTCAGCAAACATTTCAGGGCCTTCAGAGCCACTTTTTTATGTGCCAGAAACCATAGGTTCGTTCTTAGAAGCGCACGGAGAAGAAAAACCGGGAAGAGGTTGAGAAAAATGCGTTTGTTTGTCGGTGAACGATGTCAAATGAATGGAAAAGTGTTAAAAAAGTTGATTTTGGGG